AGAACCCACAACCTTCTGACTCAAGAGGTGAGTACTACCAACTGAGCTAGACTGAATCTAACACCCTGGCCTCCAGCACTGATCAACCCAGCAGTTGATTTTGCTCGCTCTATGTAAAAAAAAAATTTGCTAATGTTTATCCTACATTTCATCTCCCTCAACCTATGCTCTTCGCTTGGTGCAGTGCTATATCTGACACAATCATTCCCGGTTTACTCTCTGAATCCTACGACACATAGGATTCAGAGAGTAATCCGGGAATGATAGTGTCAGATATAGACACCTAGACGTTCTCTATAATTTTCTTCTAACATCTTCTTGATATGGTTTGCACTTTAACCACTTTGCTTAATCCCACTCAACATCTTTATTGAACTCAATGAGCCATGGAACCAAAAATCTAAGCACGCACCATCTAGTGGGCACACAGCATCACTACATCTTACTTTTTTTATAGAAAAAATGCCTGAGCATTACATTTACATAAGTTCTGTGTAATCTTTTTCAACATTATTCTCTCAGACATTGGTTGGCATCAAGCCAAAGGCATCCAAATTTACAGATGACAACAAACTTGAAGAAATGACGAAAATCAACTTGCACAAACCCACAGAAGAGGGATTTCAGGAAATTGGCAGCAAGGTGGCAGATATAGTTTAGTACAGAATTGACAGGTTATAATAATCCTTGCATTTGATGTAGTGCCTTATCGTGTCTTCCAGATGACCCAAAGCGCTTCACAGACTATACTGGAAAGTGAATTGACTATATTTTGTAGGTGAAATATAGTCGCCCACAAAATATAAAAAGTTATGAGATTTAGCAGAAAGTAAGGGAAGTGAGGCACATTACAGACCAACTTTACTTCTGCATTGATGTGGGTAAGGGAGAACACACATACTGTGTATCTTTTACTGTCAACTTAGGATCTGAGCCCAACTCAGACGTTTGGTTCCAACTTCTTGCCACATTCTGTCTGATATCTCATGTCCTATTTGAACTTTCCTTCCTATCCCAAAGGATATCTTACTATATGTGCTTCCGCATCAGGCCACTATATAATGCCTCTGGCTAACATGGGAATAACACCACCACCACAAATTACATTTGTATAGCGCCTTTCACATCGGGAGGTCATCCAAGATTCTGGACAGTCAGGGATTTGGAGACGAGCTGGTGGTTGAGATCAGGAGGGGTGGAGGGCAGCGAGGGTAGGGGTAGGAGGGTGGCTGAAGGAGAGGTCAAAGAGGAGTCTTGAGACTTGCCTTGAAGGAAGCAAGGGAGGGATCAAGGCGTAGGGAATGTGGGAAGGAGTTTCAAAGGGTAGGCTGAAGCCAACCCTCAATGGTGGGGCATGCCGGGAGGGGGATGAGGAGCAGGCTGATATGGCGTTACCAGGTCACAGAGGTAGGAAGGTCATGAAGGGCTTTGAAGGCTAGGAAGAGGATTCCCCAAGAGTGGGGTTGATAGGATCACGGAGCTGGTGCGGGAGAGTACACAAGCTGCAGAGTTCTGAATGATCTGCAGCTTGTGGAGGGAAGAGTTGGGAAGGCCGACAAGCAGGGAGTTGGCGTTGGCGAGCCTAGATGTAACAAATGAATAGACAGGACAAGAGCATTGTGGTCCACCTATTGAGTCCCTGTGTAATAAAACAAATATTATACAGTTCTCTCTCTCACACGCTATTATTCCAGTGCTTTGCTCACCAGACTCCCAGCTCCTTCCTACAAAAACCTATCCAGGACTCTGCGGTTCATGGCCTTCCACATCAGGTAAGTCTATCACTCCCAGTCACTAAAAGGATGATGAAAAGATAATTCAAGAAGCAAGAGAATCAAGTTGGTCTCAAGTACAATTCACAAATCAACATTGACTATAGCCAGAGCCTCTACCATTTTATCAATAACCTCCCTCAGCAGTCTGGGCTTTGGACCGTTCGAGTCTGGTGATTTATCTTTTAAGTTGTAACCACTGTGCCATTCTTCAAATTCTTATAGCCTAGACTAACATTCCAGCACAATAATAGGGGTGCACTGCACTGTCAGAGGTGCCATCCTTTGGATGAGACGTTCAACTGTTTACCTGTTCAGGTGGATATTAAATGCTTTTGGTCACCCGGGTATCTGAAACATTCAGAAACCCATTACCATGCTTAAGAGTATCCAAACCAACCTGAGATAATAACATTCCTTGCATTTGATATAGGGCCTTATTAAGTCTTCGAGACATCTCAATGCGCTTCATAGAATATACTGTAAAGTAAATTGACTGCATATTTTGTGAGTGAAACGAGGCAGCCAATTGCACAGAGCAGTGTCCCACAAACAGTCATGGATTTAGTGACTAAATTATTATTTATTTTATTTTGGGGGGGATTTTATCCCCGGGAAAGCATTCCGCCAATCAACTAACAAACAGTTTCCTACTTACTGCTAGGTAAACAGAGGCGTGTGGAGTAAGGAAACTTGTCCAACGTTTCGCCCTGGTGGGAATCGAACCCAGGTCATCTCACTTGTGAGGCGAGTGCTCTAACCACTGAGCTATAGGACTCCAATATCCAGAACTTAATATTAAACACAAGGCACACAAATCATTTCATGAATGAGGCTTGATGTTTATTGATTAGTTAGAGCAGCAAAAGCACTGAAAGCAACGTATCTTCCTCACAACATGATTTAAGATGTCGGTCTTTGGCAAAATGACCTTTTGACTAGTGCCATTTTTAATGCTGGACTCATTTCTCGGCATCCTTCTTATGAAGGTTCTTACTTGGTAGGTTGCTTGTTTACGATGCTTCTTCCTACGCCCTAAGTTGAGGCACCCTGTGTGTCCCCTTCAGCAGTAAAAATCTGGTATGCACGGCTTCATGCTTGAGTTGCTTCAGATCTGCACTTTGTCCATTATGATGGGAACCATTTTTGTAAAGTCATTACACTCATGGACAAGATATCACTGCCTTACAAGTGGGCATTTTTGGAAACTATAGATACACATTTCTTGAACATGTAGTTACGTTTAAAATACTAAGAATGTTAATTTGAATAGTTACAGCCCCTACCAAGAATTGGTCGGAGGAGCTCAGTTTAGGCCGAGCGAAGCCAATTTCCCATTTGCGCCACTTCCACCATCCCAACAATCCCCGCGGAAACCCATCACCATGCTTAAAAGAGTATCGAAACTAAGCTGATATTTCCATGTACCCCACCTCCACATGGAAAACCAAGAATTTCCTTTAGCTGAACGTTGACAAGATGGAAGCCACCAATACCTCACTCCAAAGGCTGCTGAAACCCTGGTCCATGCCTCGTCATCTCTCGGCTGCACTATTCAAACGTCCTCTTCGCCAGCCTACCATCCATAAAATCCAGATTATTCAAAACTCTGCCGCCCGCATTCTCGCCCGCACCAAACTCCGCTCCATGATTACCCCAGTTCTTGCCAGACTGCACTGGCTGCCTATCCCAGAGAGGATCGATTTCAAGATCCTCACCCCTGTTTTCAAATCCCTCCACTCCTCCGCACCCCCCTACCTCTCTGACCTCCTCTCTCCTCAAAACAGTGCCCGTGGCCTTCGTTTCTCCGGGTCTGGTCTCCTCGTCCCCTGAATCCTCCGCTCCACCGTTGGCGGCTGTGCCTTCAGCCACTACGCCCTGAGGCTCTGGAACTCCCTTCCTCACTCCCTTCGTCTCGCTCCCTCTCTTCCTACTTTCAGGTCTCTGCTGAAGACCTTTCTTTTCGACCGCGCCTTTGGTCACTTTCTTCCCCCCTGGCTCAGTCCTTGGATCCTTTACTGCGAAGAGCTTTGAGATGCCGTCTGGCGTGGAGGGCGCTATATAAATCCAAGTTGTTGTTGTTGTAATGCGTGCGTGTATAAGGGTTTCGGCTGTCTGAGGGGTGAGACACGGGCGGAGTCGGGCAGTGTTGCGAAGATAGGGGAGGCAAGAAATATTACTGAAACAAAATTTTCTTCAATATTCATGAAATATTGATATGCGCAAATCCCAATATGAGTACAAGTTGCCTTTACTTCCAGTGTGTTAGCATCAGGGGATTGGGAGAGATTGAGGCTCATGTGGAGTATAAACATCGACACAAAACTTCTTGGACTGAATGGACTGTTTCCTTTCTCTAACATTCTATGTAGTTCTATCACTCCTCACCGCTGTATCAGCCCTGGGCTACTTTCCAGTTACATTTTGACCCAATCTTGCCTTTCACTCAGTTCTCATCACAAACCTCCTTTAACTCCTGGTCGCAATATTTGTGCCTTACCCAACTCATCACTTAACTATTTCCCACGATGGTGCAACACCCACATGACTTGGTTGGAAAGCGCCTTTCTTATTTCCAAAAGCTAATGGTGAGGTTATGGAATGAGCTGTTGGCTGTTAGTTACAGTGTTTGCAAAGTAAACTAAGCCGGACTTACATACCGCAGGACATGAAACACACCTCTCAGCTGTGCTGTTACAGCCTTGTAACCCACTGAGATAACTCAGGCTGCAAATTAAATTTAGAACAACACGCCAAATTTCCTGGTCTGTGTATTGGATTGCAACTACCACATTACACAACATTTCTGTTGCCTGCAACAAACAAAACAAAAACAACAGTTTGTGTTCAATATCCCCACACTAGTCACTCTCTCTCTCTCTCCCTTTCTCCTATCTCAGCACAGTGCAGGAACCAATGGCCTGCAAAACAGAAAGATTTATTCAGGGGAGAACTAACTACGTACTTATGCTAACAGAAAGCAATGCCCTGGGAAGGAGAGGCAGTGATGAGACAGACATCCTTTCTCTGCCATAAGTAGATATGAGCAAAATGACTCATTATATTGGAGAGAGAGCTGGAGGGGGGGGGGGGAAGAGAAACAAGAGAGGAATAAAGCAGCCAACTGCTGCAAAAGATAACCCCTGTCAAGTATGCAACCAAAGGCATCGCAGGTTTGCTACCGGCTGAAGGAATAAATATGCATTTTGATATAAAACAAGCACCTACCCCTGTGGTGACTGGGTTCTGCCAGAGCTCAGAGGCAACCAGGAACAATCCCAGTGGCCCGCTCCCACGTGACCGGCGTCGCGCGGCGCACGCCGGGGCTCGTAGTTCGCTCCGGGAAGAAAGTGGCCGTCACCGAGACTTCACGCGCGACCAGACTACAACTCCCAGCAAGCCCCGCGGCCACTGTGCTCCTTCACCCAGCCTCAAGGCTTCAGTGCTGTGGGTCATTTCAATGTACCTTTACCTTTTCCAGGAAATGTTTGCAATTAGTGATGAATGACCCAGGGAATTCCTGGTTTAGCCATTTCCTGTCCATGTTTTTTTTTTGTTTCTTGACCGAATCCTTTGGGCAATTGCAGAATCCCAAATATTGTACTTTTGAAAAAAAAACAACCTGTGCTTAATAATAATAACAACAACAAAATTACATTTGTATAGCGCCTTTCACATCGGAAGGATGATGGCCCGAAGTGCCATCTCTCCCAAAACGCCCTCATCCATTGCTCCTGCTCACTTCTCCTTTCTTTCCGTCCTCTCCCTCCTAGACTGTCCCACATCTCCTCTCTCCGTTCTCGCCTGGGAATCCTCCACTGGGCTCGTGGTGGCACACAACATTGACTGTCCAACAGCAGCCACCCTGACTGCCCCATCCCCAATAATAAGCTTTCAATTTAACATGGAGTGACATAGTTTGTCCGAATAGCCTGGTTCATTGAAGTAGATTTTATGTAAATCTATGCAACACTCTTATTGCTTATCAGATATTATCTTATAACATTTAAGACAATAGTTTTAAAGATTGAGGATTTTCAGATTTTTCTAACCTATCAAAGAATATTTTCATGCTCTTCCCGCTGCTTTTCCTCAGTGAGTCCTGTACGACCAAAACAATTTCCTCCCAGTTTCCTTAACGCTGTGCATAGTGCACTGCACAATTGTTCATCTTTTCCACTAAACATATCTTTCCCTCCCCTCTCAGCATTCCGAAGGGATCTTTCCCTCCGTCACTCCCTGGTTCATTCCTCCATCACCAACAATTCCTCTGCTCTCCCTGATACCTTCCCATGCCAGCACAGGAGATACAATACCTGCCCTTTCACCTCCTCCCATACCACTGTCCAAAGCCCCAAACATAGATTTCAGAGACAGTGATTTATGTGTACTATCACCAATGTAGTTTACTGTATTCGCTGCTCACGATGTGGTCTCCTCTACATTGGGGAGACGAAACGCAGATTGGGTGATGGATTTGCCGAACACCTCCGTTCTGTCCGCAAGCACAACCCTGAGCTTCCAGTTTCTTGACACTTCAACTCTCCCTCCCACTCGCACTTCAACTCTCCATCCACGGTCTCCTTCGCTGGTTCCAATGAGCTACAGCGCAAGTTCGAGAAACAGCACCTCATTTAATTGCTAGGGACCTTACAGCCCTCTGATCTCAATATTGATTTCAACAATTTCAGAGCATAACAGCTCACATTCCCCCTCCCACTTCCCACTACTTTCGTGCAATCCCCCACTTTGTTCTGCATCATTAACACCGCTTTAACCCGTCATCCCCTGTCCTCTACCCCATTTTCTTTTTTGTCTTCCTTGCCCTGCCTATCTGTTTGTCTGTTTGTCTCTGTTTGTCCTCAAAAACTTCTCCCTCCCAACATGCCCCAGTTCTGACGAACGGTCATGGCCCTGAAACATTGACTCACTTTCCTTTCTCCATAGATGTTGCCTGACCTGCTGAGTGTTCCCAGCGCCTTCTGTTTTTGTGTTCATCTTATTAGCTTATTTGACTTGTAATGGTCTAAGCTTCAACAGGCTCTTGTAGCAAAGCATTCTTTGACCCAATAACTATACATGAATCATAATAATAATAATAATCCTTGCATTTGATATAGCGCTTTTCACGTCTTCTTAAAGTCTCAAAGCACTTCACAGAATAGACTGTAAAGTGAAGTGACCATATATTTGTGGGCGAAACGCGGCAGCCAATTGCGCACAGCAGTGTCCCACAAACAGTCATGGATTGAAAATTACCAATTTATTATTTTTTTTAATCAAAACATCTTCTAACCTTCCCTTTAACTCACCCGAGCTTGTGCCATCACACTATTGGTATAATAAACTCAGCACCTTTTGAAAAAAGAATCAAGATAAATGGGGGGAAATTCCCCCTGGATCTAGATTTACCCTATTTATGTAGTATTTCAGAGTATTTTGAATTTAGCATAAATGGTGTGACAGTCTGGCACAGCTGGTAGCTCTCTTGCCTCTGTGTCAGAAGGTTTGGAACCAAACGTCATATAGGCACTTTGAGTTTGTGCTCTCGACTAATATTTCAATACAATGCTGGGGGATCTTTGCATCATTCAAATGAGATGTTAATCTGAAGGGACATCTCATCAGCCTCTTCTGGTGGATGTTAAAAATCCCATGGCCTTCTTCCAAAAAAAGAAGAGAGTTTCTCCCAGTGTCCAAGCCAACAATCCCTCAAACAAAATTGGTCATTCATGGCTGGGAAATTGCTATGCGCAAATTGTCTACCACATTCCCCTACAAAATATACAGTCACTACATTTTACAGAAAGCCTCTGTGAAACCGTTTGAGACCTTTTGACAATAATAAGGCACTATATCAAATAGCTATTATTATTACATTCTTAATTTTAAAAAAATTCTGTAACTTTCTTTGAAGTCTTCAGGAAAGTCTCAATTCAACAGTCTCTCAAATTCTGGGCACTCTAAAATCCTAAGTAAATACAGTAAATGCTGGTGGAATTTTACTCCATCATTTGTTAGTTGTCATGTACTGTACAACCGTGCTGCATTTTGTTTGGCATCTGAGGTCTGAAGACATAGATTAGCCAGCAAAACTATTTTAAAATGTTAAGGTCACAAAAAATTCTGGAAGTCATTTCTTTTAAAATAAGAGCCAGAATCCAAATTCAGGCTAAATTTTACCAATTATCCCTAATGGTGTGCCATCTTACAATAGCTCCTGTGAAGTGTTTGAGATTTCCTCCTGATATATTAATTATATAGTGCAACAATTACTGTTGATCTTGTATCTTAATTTTTTTAGAAAAACAATCCTCCAAGCTGAAATTCCTTAGCGAGGAATGCTGGGCACACCGTAAGTGGAGCTTTCTCTGATCTACCACCTACTGACAGAAAGCACTCCCTAATCAGTACTGACAGAGAGAGCTGGTTATAGTACAGCACATCACCACAGCAACCTCAGTTTCCTGAACCAGGTGGGTGGTATTTCCCACAGCTGACAATCTGTGAATAATGCTACAAGTGAAATGACCTTTCCAATGATCTCTAATGATCTAAAAGTCAAATGTACATTTGAATCCTTATTTGCGCTAGCTAGTCCTGTTTATTTAGGCATTCCCGTTGAAATTTATCCCCATTGCTTGAAAATTGTGCAAAGCAGCCGCCTACTTACTTCAGGTGAGATATTGCTCTGTGTCTTCGATACAAGGGAAATGTATTCCAAAGATAGGATAGAACTTATCATGGGAACATTAAAGGATACCTTGAGGATATTAATTAACTTGTCGCTCAACGTGTCCAAATTGTGTGATGCAGCAGCAAACAAGGCAAATGCGAATGCTGGGCCATATCATTAAATCAGTTGAGCAGATCATCATGTATTGTACAAGATATCCAGACCTCTAGTCAGGCAACACCCAGTGTATGGCAGGCCTGTTCACCACAACATCATGTGAGCTGCAGCACAGTAATCGGGTACTAAAGAGATGAGCTACTAAGTACGAAAAGATAAGCTAGGGTTCTTCAAAAGAGACATCACAGAGGGGATCTTATATAAGAGATATATAAGATATGTCAGTCAAGCTCAGTTGATAATACTCTCGCCTTTGAGTCGGAAGATTGTGGATTCAAGCCCCACGTTAGGTCTTCAAGTCTAGGATGATACTCCAATGCAATGGTGGAGGTGTGTTCCATTGTTGAAGGTGTTGCCCTTCAAATTAGACATGAAATCAAAGTTCCCGTATTTGCTTGTTCTGCGACTCTATTTGAAAAAAGAAGGCAGCTTCACTTGGTATCTGCACAAGCATGGACTCTTTAGGGGGAATGTCCCATTTCTGTGCCACATCACTCCATGTAACAATTTTGTGAGGTCCACAATGTTAATTTTGTTTGAATTCTATTGATCTAGCTTCAAAAATCACTTTTGAATTTTAAGACAATATCTGTCTTAAATTTCTGTGGGGGTCCTGATGAAGGTTTACCAGCTAAAAGCATGCCATTATGAGCACTGTTGAGCACTTGCGTGCTTCTTCTTAGACAGGATCAACCTTCCCATTAGGGTTTTGGCTTGAATGATTAACAGCAACCAATTTGGGTAGAGGAAGAGAAATGTAGTTAGTTAACTAATAATCATTAATATTTATTTACAATTTTGAAATTTGTAAATTTACAAATCGAAGAGGGGTAAAATGTAATCTTTTAATATATAACAATGCTTGATATAGCACTTACAACATGGAAACACCTCAAAGTTATTTACTGGAAATGATGGTTGGTAGGCGATCAGAGAAAGCCATTCTGCTCACAGTAAAGTCATACAAACAGCCATGAAGTGAATAATCAATGTGGAGAACTGTCAGGCACCTCCATCCTCTTTTCGAATAGTATAATAGGTTCTTTAAGACCTTGGTTTAACAAGACTGAATCTCCAATAGTGCAGCGAACTCCCTAGTACTGTGCTGGAGTGTCAGCCTGGACTACAACACTCCTGGACTCAAGTTGCAGCCCACAACCTTGTGACAATGGAGATTGTTATGTTACTACATAGAAAAACACAAAGTAACATCACTGAACTACAACATTAGATTTGGTACAACATGGAATTGGTTAACATACAACAGTGATGAAAGAATTGCCTGCTCTCTGCTGTTGCAGAGAATTGTTCAACTTAATAGCTTCCTCCAGAAAGGCTTCTTTCTTTTGGTTAACACTGAAGAGTCAGACAATGTCAAATTTAGTCTTGTAAGTGGTCTGGTGCTTTGAATCAGAAGGAGTGAAGTGACAAAGGATACAGTAGGGA